CTGTGTGTGTGTGTGTGTGTGTGTGTGGAGAGAGAGAGAGAGAGAGAGAGAGAGAGAAGGGGGTGGGGGAGAAAAAGAGTATATGTGTTAATATGTATATATGTGTTTGTGTGTGTGTATGTGTGTGTCTGTATATATGGGGGGAGGGAGGTGCTATAGTTATTAGCGACCTCTTTGTAGAAGCACATCAAAACTAGATCTAGACCTATATATAAAAAGATACACACCTAACCTTATACCTGGAATAAGAACAAGATTCCAACTCCATACAGCCATGTTATCGTTAAAACAACCTCTGTCTCAGCCCTTTTTCGTTCTTATTGAACATTGATATCGTAGGTGGTCTAGCAGTTAGGCTGTTGGGTCCGAAACCGAAAACTACTGATTCCAAACCCTTCAGTGGCGCCGACGTTGTGTCCCCAGATGGGAGACAGAACATCTCCGGTCCCGGTAACAAGCATTGAATGACGTGGTCTGTTACTGTTTGCGCACCTAATAGTTGCACTGTGTGTTTCTTAGTCACTGTTCTCCAACAACAAACTGTTCAGAGGACAAAAAGCCGACAGGTTTTTTCCTCTCTATTACAAACCAATCAGAGGACAAATTGCCGATTCCTTCGCCTACAAACCGTTCAGGGTAATCAGAGGGCAAAGTTCTGGTATGTTCTATTTAAAACCAAGCAGAGAGATACATGCTGGTTTTCTCCAACATAGACGTGCCCAGAGAGTGGGCTTGTCAAAGGGCAGCAGGTCCTACTTTTTCAATTATAATCTTATCTTTCTGTGTTATGTTTCTGTCCGTCTGTCTGTCTGTCTGACTGTCTGTCTTACTTTTTCCCTACAGTAAATGACTGTTATTCTGACGATACGATTCTCATCAAGTGATTGTTATCGTTCAATGTGTGTGTGTGTGGGGGGGGGGGGGTTCCCCTCCTCCTTTTCCTTCTGCATTCAAATCACTTATTATATAGTGCGGTCAAAAATTTGTTGTGGATCTTTTTTTCTTTTCTTTAAAACATTTCCTCAACAATGAACCCTAAAGTCTCCAGCTTTTCCACAATGTAATGTTTCAGTTTCTCTTAACAGAACAATATTTTTGTAAACACCTGCAAGCCTGATTCTAGAATATCCCTTTATGACTAGGCCTACTAATTATAAATCCCAGTGGGTGGTTTCTACAAATTGTATCAAGTTTAACGCTGGGCCAATGTCGCTTTTAAAAGCAAGTTTTTTCTTTTAACGTGATTTGTGACTGCCCGGCGGATTTTCATTTCCATGGTCTGTTGCACCCTCTGAAACTTCTTTTGCGTTCCACCCTGCCAGCATAAAATAGAAATATGAAAAAAAAAGAAATCACACCCT